GTGTGTACGATTCAGTTTTGTGTGTAGGTCCCCTCCCTGTCGGCTGCGCTTGTGGCTGAGGGCTTGCACGCTCGTGGCCAACAAGCCTCGAGCGTGCAAGCGTTTCTTTTCCCCTCCTGGAGCCTTGCATTTCTTTTCCCCTCCTGGAGCTGTCTTCGGATTGGCTTGTGGAGGATGTAGAGGCACTTGGGGCCGTTCCTGGATCTGGTGCCTTGGTCTCGGCTGCCCATGCGTCGTCTGCACTGCTGAAGCTGTTTGCGCCGATCTTGTGGGATGCGGTGTTGCGTTTTTTTGCTGTTTGTCTAACGTGTCGGCAGGTTGTGCTCGTTTCCACCTTGGGATCTGCTTGGGCCTTGGCTCGTAGGTTTTCTTCGTCTTTTTGTTCTTTGCTGTTTGCGGACTCTATGGTTGAGCGGTATCTGCAGGTGGCTTCTTCCAGTTTTTGTCCGATGTCTGACTTGTTGGTTCTCCAGGGGTCCTGGGCGGGGGGTGGGGGGTCCTCCCGGAAGGGTTGTGCCAGGGCTCGGGGTTCTGCTCATCTGGGTAGGCCACAGGTTCTAGGTTTGGGGGCCCCCTACGTCTGGTCGCTCTGCGGTAATCGCTCTGTTCACAGGTCAGGTTCTCGTAAGGGGCGTTTGCCCTTTCACGGTTTGCCCCATTGACGGGGAGATGGGGGAGGGGAGGCTTGCTCTGTTCGCTCACGCCCTGGTCTCATGATTTGTGGGCTTTTCAGGTCTTTCCTGGAGCCTGCAGTGGCGTTGGGTGGGCCCCCCCCCCCTGGGCCCCCCCCCCTCCATCGGGGGGTTTGGGGCTGGTGGGGCAGGCCTCTTCTCCTGCGCTCTGTCAAGTCATCTCGGAGTGAATGCACTTGGGTGTGGTCGAAACGACGACGTATCTCAGGTGGGTTTCCCGCCTGCTTCCAATTCCGAAACAGGACTGTGCAGCCCTGCGGTTCATTCTGGACTTGTTCCGTCTGAACCCCTGGATTTCTTGCCCCTCGTTTCGGATGACCACTGTCCCAGGTCTGGCTTCTGTTGGAGCTAGGCTCTTGGATGTTGTTCCTGGACCTCGAGGATGCGTATTGGCATGTCCCGATTCATCTGGGATTCAGGGACTGGCTCGGGTTTGTTGTGGGGCATCTCGGTTACTGCTTCCGTTGTCTTCCATTTGTGTTGAACCTGGCTCCTCACGTGTTCACATGCCTTATCCGGGCCGTGGTGGCCCGTCTGCGTCTTTTAGGTGTTCTGGTGTTGGCCTATCTCGACGATTGGCTGGTTTGGGCTCCCAGTTGGTCTGCGTGTCTGCTCGCCAGAGATTTGTATCTTTCCCCACTTGCCGGGTTCGGGTTCCTGGTGAACTGACAGATGTGTCCCATCTGGTCCCCTCCCAGGTTTGGACTTAGCTGGATCTTGTGTGGGACTTTCGGACCGCTTCCTTTTCTCTCCCTCCGGAATCTCTCTTTCAGCTGTGGTCCCGCATGTGTTTGTTTCAGGGGGGGTGTGTCTCCCGGGTCACGTGGCAGTTGCTCAAGGGTCTGTGCGGGAGCCTGAACTTTGCGATGATGGTCTACCCGCTGGGTCGGGTTTAGCTTCATCGACTGTTCAGGTTCCTTCGGCGACATCTCTTCCGCCTCTCGCGCAATTGTTGGGTTTGACCCCCGAGGGCCTTGTGTTGGCTGCTGCGTCGCCAGCTTCCTTTTCGTTTTTTTTGGGGGGTTCAGTACCTTGGCACCTACCCAAGTTCTCAGACGTGTCATCTCTCGGCTGGGGCTTTGTGACCAGTGCTCACCAGGCCGGCCAGGAGCAGTGGGGTCCGTCCTTCTGTCGGGCCCACAACATAGTGCGGGAGTTCGTGGCAGTGTGGTTTTTCGCTTCGGAGGGTTCGGGTTGCCCGCGGATCGACGATCCACCTCCATTTGGACTGCTCTCCGGTGGTTCATTGCCTGAACCGAGGGGGTTCGATGTGGTTCTTTGCTCTTTGGAGCTGTTGCTTTGGGTGACTCGTTTGCCGAGTTCTCGGGGTTTGACTCTCCTAGCTGTTAACGTTTAGGTCACTTGACAGTTCATATCTGGGGGGGGGTGTCCAATGTCTTGGCGGACGGCCTGTCCCGGTTCATTTCCATGTCCACAGAATGGATGGTGGATGCCGACTCATTCCATTGGCTCTGCCAGATGTTTGGGTGCCCAGAGGTGGACCTCTTTGCGTCAACATGATCGAGACGTCTTCCGGTATATGTATCCCTTCCCTGACTACGAGGCTGTCAGGGTCGATGCCTTTCGGCAGGACTGGTCGAGGTGGGAGTTCCTGTACCTCTTTCTCCCAGTTCAACAGTTGCTCCAGATCCTGGCTCACTTGGAGATTTACCAGGGAAGAGTTGTCCTCTTGGCCCCATGGTAGCCGGCCCAGCCTTGGTTTCAGGCACTGTTAGCTCGATGTCTGAACCCGGAGGTTTTCCCATGGCTCCGTCTTTTTCAGCAGATTGGTCCAGTCCATTACGAGACTGGTTCGATCTTCTCGAGTTTTCGCATTTGGTCTTTTTGACTCGAATCTATCACCATCTGTATGGTGATCATGTGGCTTCTTTGGTGGTGTCCCACCCGTGGGCTTCGTCTCTGCGGCAGTATGAAGTTTCCTGGCGGTTCTTCCGGTTCTTTTTTGTCTCTTCGTCGCTGTACTTCACTTTCAGTTAAGGTTGTTTTGTCCTTTCTTTCGTAGCAGTTTCAGGACCGTCATCTTATGCCGAATATTGTCATCTCGTATTGTGCGACGTTGGCAAAGCTGCTGCAGTTTCCTTTCGGTATTGATGTTACTCGATGATGGCGGCGCATGATGGCCTGATCATGCACCGCCTGAGCCGTCCTGGTCTTTGGACAGAGTGCTCTCTAATTTGTCTTCTTGGTTTGTTGTGGCCCCTTCGGTTCAGGATTGTTTTTCCTAAGCTTCATTTCTGTTGGCATTGGCCTCTGGGGGTCAGGTTGGTGAGCTTCATGCTCTCCTCCCGCACAAGGGGTTCTGTTCCTTCAATCTTTGTAGTCAGTTTGTTCGCATCCGTCGCTTTTTTTCTGGCGCAGGACAAGATGGTAGCTTTCTAGAGGGGCCCTTGTGTCATTGATGCTTGGTTGGTCAGGCTGGGGGTGCCATCATGTGTTGTTTCTAGTTGCGGCTCTTCCCTATTATTTGTGCGCCTTGGCTTTGGTGGCCAGGGATGCGCTTTGGGCTGATCCGGTTTCCCCTCGTTCCCTGTTCCAGGGCTTGGGTCTTCCAGGTCATCCGCAGGGTTCTTATGTCTATCCAGCCTATGGTCTATCCTCATGCCCAGGACGGGATTACTTTGATAAGGCTCTTTTTCTTGCGGCTGTCCTCTGTTATTTGCGCGCCATGGCCTCTGTGACAGGGAAAGCACATTGGGTTGATCTGGTTTCCTTTCTTCCCTGTTCTAGGGTTCGGGTCTCTCAGGTCGTCCGCAGGGTTATTTGGTCTAGCCAGCGTGCGGTCTATCCCCGTGCCCATGACATTCATAAGTTTTCTGCATTGGCTGCTGTCTTCAGTAACATGTCCTGGGCTGACATTCGGGCACAGGGTTTTTGGCAGTCGAATAGGGTCCTGGCTGCACGCTACCTCGTAAAGGTTTCTGGGCCTAGTCGGGCCTGTGTCGCTTTGGATCGGTTGATGTAGCTCCGGAGAGCCGAATAAGCTTCCCCCAGAAAACCAGCATTGAATGTAATGAAACGCCATTTTCTTGGTGAGACCTGGAGGCTGCTCCGGTCACCTTCACCCCGCCCCCCGGTTGGCAGTTTTTCGCGTGTTTTGACATCCAGCCTCGAGCTGGAGGGTGGATCGCTGGCGCAGTGGGTCTGGGGCTCCCTCCTTCCCCCTCCCAGATAGGGAGGAGCTGCCCAGACATGCAGCGCGGCTTGTCTGACATCATACTCGTTTGCTCGTTTTCATTTGGGAGTTCTGTCCACTCGTTTGTCTATTTTCGTCGTTTTAATTAGAATTGGGGTTTGTTTTGAGGTGCTTACCTATCTGGGCGCCTGGCCTGGTCGATGGTAGACATAAAATGCTCCAAATCCCATGTGCATTTCTATAAGCCATTGCTCCTCGTGCCTCTCTGAGGGTTCCAAGTTCTGGTTCGTCGTTCCCGGTAGGCCTAGAACTCCATTCACACTGACTGATGCCAAAATATAATGACATACATATCAGCCTGGATAGCTCCGGGGAGCCTCCGGGTCTTACCCAGAAAATGCCGTTTCATTACATTCAATGCTGGTTTTTTAATCAAAACCTTGTCTTTATTCACATAGTGTATTCCTTACAACTCCTTTTTCTTTTTTGATCACATAGTTCATATCCTTTGATACTCGTCTTAGAATTGGGCATCCCTCATTGAACATACACATTACTGCATATATTAAAATGTGTGGATTGGTTATGGCATATGCATAGATGATTAAATGCAGTAGAGAGAAAAGACTCAGGTTAATGTGATCTATTTCTAACAAGAACATGAAGTACAGACAACAGTACAAAGTATAAGAAAAATATGGTCTATAAATTTTTGTACTCCTTAGTGTCTTATTATTATACTGTACAAATTTTGTTCGGTCAGAGAGGCAATTTTGATGATGGGTGCAGTTTGGGGCGGTTAAAGATCATTTCATTAAAGTATACAAGAAAAGCACTGTATGGAGATGTAAACACTTCCCTCAATCACCTGTCAGTGATCAGTTCACGTTGTAGCTTTGGTTACTTGTGGCTTTCATTTAGTAATAGTATCTTCAATATGTGATTTTCCTAAAGAATAAGTACAGTACAGTCAGTGTAAATTCAACCTTTGTCTGTAACTATTGTTCTGACATTATTAATATGAACTTTGTGCATGATTATTGACAAGAGGGAAAAGCTTAAGCTTTTAATTAAAGTACAGTAGTTTATAAAAAGTTCAAATTTGTGAATAAAATAATGCAATACTTTGACTACAATTTTCTATACAATTTCAGCAAGCACAACATGCAGCAGCACTTCAAGGTGACGAATGTGAAAATCAGGTCATAAAGCAAGAGAGAGAGGATTATCCACTGCAAAATAGAATAACAAACGAACATGACCCAAATGTTTACATGGCAGGTCAGCCACATGATGGGATGACAGACTATTAAAACTAGAATATAATTTTCTCAGGCGTGATAGCCTCTTGGCCTAATGTGAATCGTGCGAGGATGTGGTAGAACAAGTGATTCTGGCAAGTGTTGGATACTTAACCTTCTGTGAATGGTTAGTCACATGTATATATGAAAGAATGAGAACAAATTTTTAGATAAATTAATAAATTATGGTAATATTTTGGCTCAAGGCCAGGTATGGGAACCTAATGATTACTGATTTATGTTGCTCCAACTGTGAAACAGTTGGAGCAACATGGAGAGATAGGCAAGGACTAACAGGGTTAGTTATACAGTAAATCCATTATGGTTAACGTTAGAATGTTTAGTCCTAATAACAATTTACTTAGTTAAGACTTCCTGTGAAATGTTCAAAGTGATAATACACACACAGTATATGTAGTTATTTGTCAAAATTATTTCCAATATCAAGTAGTTTCACTGTCCAAGATAACTGGATTAGTGTGCTGTGAGACCTTCATTATATACCATAGATCTATATTGTCATTAATTTTGCATTGCCAAATAATTATTTACTCGTCAAAATGACGACGTTTCAATCCATCCTGGACCATTATCAAGTCGTGTGTTATTATCACATGACTTGATAATGGTCCAGGACGGACCGAAACGTCGTGGTTTTTTCATCTTCTGATGCATGGTTTGGTCATCATATCTTCAGCCACGTTATTGTCACTCATCGTCTGCAAGTAATGGGGCATAAGCTTGTCACAAACCCTTGCTATCATATTCAGTTGCTACTTAATGCACAATCCAACTAAGTCCATAATACTGGATATTAACAGTGAGGACTGGTCAGTATTTTGGACTGGCACAGCAGGATTCTTTCAACTGCTCCTACCAGATCATATCAGTACCAGGGAGGTACTAGAGATAATTTATTGCAACTTGGAATAGCCGAGAAAGCTACTTGAAAAATTCAAGGCTCCACTTAGCATCACAAGAATCACTAAGAGGCACAATTATTAAAAGGCAGTTTGCCTGTATGTCTGCTGCACTCAGTCACCACCAGATAGCAGCACCAAAACCATAATAGGGTTTTCTTCACCTCACATACTCCCTGACATTCCAGTGGTATTTAGGCAGGTAGTATCTGACATTCAACTAAGGGACTTCTTTATTTGAAAGTGCTTCTCTGTGTATTAGGAACATTGTTAGTATACAGTGGCACCTTCGTTTATGATCCTAATCCATACCCAGAGATGTGTTGTACGCCAAAAATTCATAAACCAAAACAAATTTTTCCATGCGAAATAATGTAAATTGAATTAATCCGTTCCATACCCCCCAAAATATTAACTTAAAAATACATTTTATACCGAATACCACTCATTTTGTACTACAGTACAGTATTATATCTTACCTTTATTGAGGACTCTTGTTAGCGTATGGAAGATGGTGAGGAAAGGGGGCGGAGGAGAGGTGTTAGTGTTTGCAAGGGGAGTCCCCTTCCAGTATAACATCAGACAGTGATGACTTTTCTGAGGTACTCTCTTTACTACGTTTTGCAGGCATACCACTAGGACCTGGTTGTAGCTCACTGCTTGTTTGTCTTGCTAAAAACCTGTCTATTGACACTTGTTTTTCCCTACGTTTTAAGACTTGTCTGTAGTGAGGCATTGTCATTAAAAAGGTTAAAGCAACGGCCTGTTACAGCTTTATCTGGGTGACACTTTTCAGCAAAACTTTGCAGTTCTTCCCATACTGCACACATTTTCTTAATAAGGAAGGGACATCAACAACCCGCATACCATTTTCATGTTTACGAATGATCTCTTGTTTTCCTCTATCATCCTCACAACTATTTTCTTAGGTTGAACTTTACCACTAACATTCTTAGAACCCATTGTGTAATATACAGTATAATAAAAACTTTTATGTTCAGGAACTAAGAAAAGCGAAAAAACAATGAAACTCTTTACAAAAAATTCAAGCGCAGTCGTCCCTTGGCGGGTAGGCGGGATGCACTGGTAAACAATCGCCCCAGCACCACGTGCTTGTTCGACCCAAACATGTATCAACAGATGCTCTATTCCAAAGAAAACGTCATACACCAATTAAAATTTTACAATTAATTTGACATATACCAAAAAATCGTATTCTAGGGATGTTGTACACCAAAGTACCACTGTATAATACTTTATACAGGCATTTGTGGGTGCACAAGTGGTATGCTTTGATGGTACAGTATCAGGGGCCCCCCCCCTAATAATTCAGGTGTCATTGAATTTTCATGAGCTTTCACCGCATCAGGGAGCTGCTGATAAAATTATAAAAAACTTAACTACTGTACTCTTCACTGCTACTAACACCAGAGCACCTTCCCCTTTCTTTTCTTTATTCTGTCATCCAGTCTGCAATTATTTCTCTCTCTTGAAAACCCTCACAAGGACAAGGGCAATCACAGTTGTCTAATAAACAAACATTTATTACAAACAATAAGAGAATAAAAATAATAATATATTACCACATAAGGGTTCTACAAAATAGCATCACACTTCCATAAGATGTGTACTTAATTGAATTGTTTCTGCTAGGCTGCTGCTTGCTCCTCTTCAGCAACACACACTGTGTCAATAGCCTTGCCGTCTAGGTTAGGCTTTTTACGTGTGAATTAATACACCCAAAATATATCAATGCTTTCACCTTTCATTGCTTCAGGCATACTGCAAGAATTGATCCATCTCAAACATACATCGGTGACCACTCAATCCATTGTCTTGTTTGGAGAATCAGCTTCTCTGTTAAGCAACAGGTCTCCACTATGGTGACTAATCTTCCTGTGAATCAATACTGGGACCATCCATCAGTGGGACCTACATCATAAGGCTACATGGTGGTTCATAACAACAGTCACCTTTGTTTGTGGTCATGCTCTCCTAGAAGGGCTTTGCTTGGGCTGCAGCCTTGGTTGCTAAGTACCCAGCTTTCTCTTGTGCAGGCATTTGCTGTTCCTGTTGCAAGCATCACTTGTTCTCAGTTCTACATTGTGGCTTGTTGAGCTTGAAACCACTGCTCCTTGTTTGTGTTACATCTGACCTTTTGAAGAAATTGTCCGGATCAACATACTCTAACTTGCTCAGTATTTTAAAAGTTTTAATGAGATGTGCCCTGTCATGCCTGGGTTGCAGTGTTGTTAGTCTTGTGGCCCTCAACCATTCCTGATACAAGAGATAACTTAGCTCTGGAATGACTTGTTGCCCGGTGTTGCTCTTTCTCCAGAACAGCTATATCATTCTGAAAATGAGGTCTCCATGCATGGATACAGTAATCTAAATGTACCAGAGATTTATACAGTTAAATCATTACCTTCTTAAGTACGCTTACTTATTCCAAGGGTTTGGTTAGCTTTTCTGACCGCTGCTCCCACCTATTGTGCAATCTTTAGCGAGTGGTGGATTTTGACTCCCAGGTCTTTTTCTTTGTCAATTTGCTGTAATGTTTACAGCAAAATTAATTTGGCAGTTGTGGCATGGGTTGTTATGCCCCACATGCAGGGTCTTGCATTTGTCGATATTAAAAAACATTTGCCAGTCTTCGGACCATTTGTGGAGTTCATGCAGATCTCGTTATAAGGCTTGAATATTGTCATCATTTCCCCAACTTACCATAAATCTTTGTACACAGAGAATAATCACACTAATGTGACTGTATCAATGAGTCACAATCCCCCCTATGCACTGGGGGAAATTATGTGAAAATCCTGTTCTGGCTTCAGTAGAAGCCTCAGGATATCCTTGTGGGTTCTGTAGAACTCCAGGTTGCAATATTTTTACCTTGTTGTGTTCTAGTCGCTAGAAGTGTGTGTGTGTGGGAACACCCGCCGGATAGGTTCGAACCCTCAACACTGCTCCTGTGGATTTTCTCATAAATCTTTGTGTCATCTGCAAATTTGTTGATGTGGTTCATAATATTCTCATCTATATCATTGATGCATATGACAAAAAGGGTAGGCCCCAAAATGAACCCTTGTGGCACCCCCATTTTTCACATTTCTCCATTCAGATTCCATTTAGCACGACCCTTTGTTTTCTTACAGATGGCCATTGTTTTGACAGATGGCCTTTCTCAGTTTTATCTAATATGAACAAAATGAAATTTGGGCAAGTCCTCCTTGCAGTGGGTATGAAACACATTTGGTATTCAAAAAGTGGATCTCTGCATTTGTGTGAACCACAAGCTTTTGGAATATGTGGCTTTGTGCTTTGTTACTCAATTACATTGCAGTTAACATTTGCTAATGACTCGATTGGAATCGGCGGGAACTGACTTAAGTTTCATCTGGTTCACATACCTTTACCAGTCTTCTGGAAGGAGAGCTCTGCAGGTTGTTGGATCTTGCTCACTTACCTGTGGGCAGTTGAGCCTTGATTCTCACCTTTGCTCTCTAGCCTCCTTGAAGTGACCCCGTTCTCTACCCTCATGTTGTAGACAACATTAGACCTCGTTGCTGCACGAGAATTTCAATTTTTTTTTTTTGTTCATCTTTTTCTGCCAAGTTCCTCATGCATCATCTACGGGACTTTTCATCTGTGATATAATGTGGTCTGGTTAGCTCCTCAATGGTTACTTGCTTGCATTGTAAAGTGTCAACCAGCCCTGACTATTTATAAACTTGCCCAATGGACCCAGTTGGATTGTGCCTTATGAAGCAACAGATTGATCTACTCACAAACAAGCTGTTCATATCAACTCATCTTTTTTTTTTTTGACACATAAACTTCCAGTTTAAATCTAATTTATGTTTGTGACCCTTTGTCACAAAGTACATAGTACCAAAAATGGGCAAAACAGAGTTCCAAAAGGACCGAATTCCAAGAACTGGATTCGTTGTGAGGACTGTGACTGGGAAAGTCGATCCTTTTTCCAGACAAGACCGAAGTGGGCACCGATGGTTCATTTAAAAGCAGTTTGGAACGGTCCTTAGTCATTTGTATTTTAATTTGGAAAACTAGAAGAGGACTGCATGTTAAGGTGTGTTATTTACAAATACAAAATGCCTGTATTTCCAGTTTGATAAAAGATTAAATTAAGCACCAAATAGGTATTATAAATCAGTATTAATTGTGTACAACTTCTGCAGAGAAAAGTCATCACATAAGGGTCTATGCTCTATAATTTGGGTTGTCATCAACAAGGGTCTGTTTCCCCATTCATAAGAGTTCATCAAGCTCAATATGCCTGTCCCCTCCTCAGGCCGAAGAGATCGGGGCTCGGTGACAGCCATTTTGCAATCCCAGCCTTTTTGAAGGGAAACTGAAGCATTCACCCTATTAGATTTTGTCCTAGTTTCATTATATTAATTTTGTTAATTGTATTATTTGGAATTCAACTTTAATTTGCTAAAATTAAATACTGTATTAATTATTTCTAGTTTCTTCAATTGCTTATATCATTTCAATTATAACATTTCACTTATATTTAATGCAAGGGGTAAGGACCAAGTA